AGCATTCTATCGCCATGGCAACCATCAGTATCCGGCGGGCCCCCCATCTCTGCACCGGGAGTGTCGAATGAACGGTTGATCCGACACTCTCTGCGCAGAGATGGGGGGCCTGCTGGCCGCTGGGTACCGATCCGGCGCTGGGACTGTGCTGGGCCCCCTAGAGGCTCGAGGCCCTGCCACTGCTTATGTGGGCTGAAGGGGCAGCTGCTTTGGGCCCCACAACAACGACTGCCCCTTTTGCCCTGCGTTAAAGACGGCCCTGAATAGTAGAATGGGAAGCTAGATGGCCCTTTTTTTGGCCCTCCAAATAAGACAAAAAAATTGACTGGTCTTTCTAAAATTCTCGGAAACTTCCAGGTACCTAATAAGACATCTGACATCTAAAGTATGAAAGACCACCTCCCCCTGATTTTTAGGGTTCTCGCAAAAAAAAAAAAGGTAATTTCTTGCGATCTATGAAAAATTACAGTCACCTTAGGTAGATACATAGGGTAATCTTAAGACCAGATCCTATCTGGTAAAATAGAAAGATAGGGATCTTTAATTGATAAGGCCTGGAGATCGCCTACTCTTCTAGCCAAAGTTATTGCTAAAAGAAAATACCATCTATTGGTTCAAAAAGGTCCTTTGCTAAGACCTCTAAGAATCAATGACCGGTCCCACGGGGAAAAAAAATAAAAAATCTTTCTGTATTGGGACTGATCTATTGATCGCCACTAAAAAACGCCTAATTAGTGCTTTTCCAGCTAAACTAATGTCCAGAAATACTGACAAAGCAGAAATCTGAACCTTAAGTGTACTAACTGACAAACCTTTATCTGCTCCGTTCTGCAGAAAATTCAGAACAACTGGAACAGAGGGAACTAAAAAAATTACTCTTTACACCAGGAGGAAAAGACTTTACAAAATGTACTATATATTTTCATGGTAACAGGCTTTCTGCTGGATAAAAGTGTATCAACCACTTTCGTGTAGCAACCTTTTTCCTCTATGATCCGCCTCTCAAAGTCAAAGCCCTTAAATGAAAGAACTCTGGATTGGGGTGAACAACCGGACCTTGAGAAAACAGATCCCGCCTGAGCAGCAGCTGCCAAGGGTTTTCTAACGACCTCTTTTGGAGCTCAGAAAACCACTTCCTCTTGGGCCACCAAGGGGATTCTAGAATCAGTTTGCAATTTGACTGGCTCAATTTTTGTAACATCCGGGAAAGAAGGAATACAGGAGGGAAAAATCAAATTCTTGAGAAAGTGTATCCACCCCCCGGGAGTCTGCAACAAGGTCAAACAGAAAGGTAGCGGAATTTTTTTCCCTTTCAGTGAAAGCAAACAGGTCTATGTCCATATATCCCCACTTGGAGATTATCGGAGTAAAAACATCTTGATGAAGCTCCCACTCTCCCGGTCTGATCTTTCTGCGGCTGAGAAAATCCGCCATCACATTGTGAACTGCCGAAATGGATCGAGTGTTTGTCCCTCCCTAATGTAGAATTTCCTGCGTTACTTCAAGCAGCTTTGATGACTGTGTGCCCCCTTGATTGAGGTACGCTACCGTCATAGCATTGTCTGCAAGAATCAAGATCTCTTGGTCCCTTATTTTGTTCTGATAAACTAAGAGAGCCTATTTCACCGCTGACAGTTCTCTCATGTTTGAGGAAGCGTTGCTCAAAGTGCGAGACCAAGGCCCTTGAGCATGCAACCCCTGAGTGTGTGGTCCTCAACCCCAGGAACTGGCATCTGTGTTAATGTGGATTGGAGAAAGTTGGAACCAAGGTCTCAATCACTAAAGAAGTATTTCTCTCACTATTGGAGTCAACTGAAACTTTTGTTCCAATTACTCTTATTGACGGTTCCACCTGGACAAAAATGATTTGAAGTGGCCTGGAGTGTAACTGTGCCAATGTCAGGGCCAGAATTGAGGAAGTCATGATTCCCTAAATCCTCATTATTTTTCTCAGCGACAGGGACTCTACTGAACAGGCCTGTCGGATAAGAGACAGGATACCGGAGATCTTTTCCTCCGAGACCGAGTCTATTCCGTAAACCCAGAAAAATTGATTGAAATGGGTTGATCCGGAATCAAAAAGGACTTCTCCACATTTAAAATCCACCCAAGCCCGCTCAGGGAGTCCCTGACCCTTTGCAAAACCTGCTAATTTTTTGTTCTGGATGGTGCAAATAAAAGATAGTCTAGATAAGGGATAAGAGATTTTCTTGAAATCCAGATGTGCTACATCCTCTGCCAATTTTTTTTTTTTTTAATCCAGGAGCCTGCTGCTAGACCAAAAGGCAGGGCCCTGAACTGATAAGGCAACACTTCCTCTTTTGTCTGAACTGCAAATCTCAGAAACTTCTGATGTTCTAGGTAAATTGGTACGTGAAGGTATGCGTCCTTCAAATCCATAGTCACCATGAACATATCCTTCTGTAACAGCCTTCGAATGGAATAAATGCTTTCAATCTTGAAAGTTTTTACAACTAAAAAACGGTTCAGTTTCTTCAATTTCAAAATTAGTCAGAACCTGTTGACTTGCTGTGGGACTAGGAATAAAAACCCTGAAAAAGTTCCTTCTTTGGAACCTGAACAATGACCTTCTGAGACTCTAGATTTGAAATACAATTCATCAGGGCTGCTGCCTTCACCTGATTCCTGAATATCGGGTTCAAGAATAAAAAAATTAAAAAACTGAAGGAGGAAGACGTTTGAACTCTAACTGATAACCCTCTTGGATGAGAGTCAGAATATAATGGTTTTCTGTAATTTTTAACCATTCTTGATAAAAAAAACTAAATAAATAAAAAAAAAACAGTCTTACCCCTACTTTTTGTTTGGGGTCCTTTAGACTCCTTAGTGGAAAAGAGGAGACCTCCCTGTGTAGGATTGAAGGACCACCTTTTCATCTGATTTTTTTTTTCCCCCTATGGGCCTCCGATTCTGCGAATACAAAAATTCTTCCTTTTCTCAGGAAATGTCTTACTTTTTTCTGAGGATCTGGACAATACATTGTCTAAACCAGAACCAAAGAGTAAGCCCCCTTCAAAAGGTAGACCACATAGTTGAGTTTCAGGGGAATATCCCAATCCCAGGCTTTTAACCATACCCCCCTTCTGGCTGAATTGATAAGGGCCGCAGATCTAGCAGAGGTTTGCACAGACTCAGCTGCTGCATCCGCAAGATAGCAAACTGCTTTTCCTATTACTGCAAGGGACTCACCAATCTTTGCCTAGGGAGCTCCCTGGGACATGTGCTGAGTAGGGCTGCAGCTAACGATTATTTTCAAAATCGGTTAGCTGATTATTAAGTTCGATTAATCGGTTAAAAAAAAAAAAAGCTCCAGACTACTAGTTTGTATTGAGATTGTAGTCCATCACGGGAGCAAGCTTGGAGCTGGGGAAGGAAAAAAAAAAGTGTGGTGTGCAATATAGAACATTATACAGTGGCGCAATGCAGAATACCAGCAGCTTTAGAGGAATACAACAAATCCCAGCAATAGTACATTATACTATAATACATTATAAGTACACTATTGCTGGGATTTGTAGTCCTCTGTAGCTGCGGGTATTCTGCATTGTGCTGTATATGTGCTGCATATAATGTATTATTGCTGGGATCTGATGTATTCCTCTATAGCAGGCATCAGGTAATTAAAACAGCTTTTTCCTGTCCTCTAATCATAAACAAGCAGTTAACCCTTGCAGTGCAGGGGGCAGCCCCACCCCGAAAAAACGTTTAATTTCCATGGAGTCTGACTTTGAGGATGCTGGAGGAGATGTATTGTCTACAATAGTTTTTTCCCACCTTTTGGGCCCAGTCACACGATATCCAGTGCGTTCCGGCACAGTTGAAGCACGGAACGCACTGGATCGAATAGATCAAACCGGGCTGCGTTCTGGGAGGGGGTGTAGCAGTGCCATGTCAATGGCACGGCAGACGCCCCACACCCACAGTGCAATTGCCTGCACCGCGAGGTACAGGATTTCCCTCCATTCCAGTGCAGTGTGATCGGAAAGAAAAGTGCATACACCTGCACTCCAACAGAGGGCATTCCTGTACCTCACAGTCAGTGCAGGCGATTGCAGTGCGGGTGGTGGGCCTGTTTGCGTGCCAATGACAGGAATGGAACCGCCACGCCCACTCCAGAACGGCTAGATCTATGCGATCCAGTGCTTTCCGGGCTCGAACCGTGCCAGAACACACTGGATATGATGCGACTGGGCCCTTAGGAGTTCATCCCACTGTCTTGTACTGGATGTAAGATTATTTGCTTTAATAGTAGTCATCGGAGAAACTCAATGTATCCCACAGGTATACCAGAGATGCAAAGTTTGGGTTTCAACTCCAGCCCATATTGTTTAGACAGAAATCTGGCCAGGAATTTCAGCATCTCAGAGTATGGTGATTGGATATACACATTGGCAATAGAACATACATGATTACACGGGCTATAGTATAACAATATGCGTTGCATCTCTGCCTCCCTTTTGTTGGCAGTCTGGTGATCTATTACTGCCTATTACAAATTATGCTCCTGATGACCATAAAGACAAATACATTTTTTTATCATTTAACTTAAAGTACAATCTAGTGACCCAAGTAATCTTTTTCTTACCCGTTTTCACACTAAAGGCTACTTGATGTCTTAGGTGACATACTAAAAAGCTTCTGCAACAAACTTTAAACCATTGCATAGTGCACTATAGCTACCATTTAGCTACAAACATGACCTGAGAATTTGAATCCAACTAGTGATACAGGAAGCAATTAGAAAGGAAGGTGCACAGTAAAGGCTTCAGGAAGAACAATTACTAAATTTAGCTGCAATGGATTACCGAGAACTTATACTGATAACCTGTATTAAGTGGGCTTTCTGGCTTGAGCAAATTTACAATATTTGCTGGATAGAATACTTAACTTACTTATAGGTTGCACAGGGAAAGAGCAGTTCTAGACAACAAGGCAACAAAAAGCAGCACACCATATTCCTTAACAAAATGGTACTTTACCTTTGGAAGGTGCAATGAATTGGTCAGGTAAACTGCTATATATGTCTGGGACAGGTTTACAATGAGACGTGTGCACATGTACAAAATGGCTACCTGTAAAACACAACTACGATAAATAAAAGGAACAAAGCACCAACAGAGGATCTCTCCATTTTCATTACCAGCTAGAGAGAAAAAAAAAAAAGAATATACCACACAATACCTGGTAGAAAGAAGGTTCCAGAAGCCAGTGCTTCCATAACATCACTGACTTTGGAGATATGGGAAGTGTTGCTTGCTCTTGAATACAATCTTCATTTTCAGCTTCCACAAGGTATTCAAACCTTTGCTTTTCCTTCGTTCCAATGTGAAATAACAGAGAAAACAGTGCTCCAACTCCTATCACGATGAGAGATAATGTCTAAGGAAAAAACAGCACGCTATAAGGATGTTGGATGAAAAGAAAACCTCCAAGTTTGACCAAAGTACTCCAAAGCTGGTAAAATTAATAACATTTCATTTTGTTGCTTTAACATTCAAAGCACATGTACAAACTACAAATATTCTAGTCTAAAATCAAACAGTGTGCTGCCAAATTTTTCAGAAAGTGTCAGAAAAAAAAGGAAGGCAAATGAACAGCCCACATAATGTCAGTGGCAATATTTGCATATTCAATTTAAAAATCTCTGGAGTTAAATGCATGTATCCCCCCCTAGGGCATTTTACTGCAGGGTCCCTTTTTATACTGCACCTCTCCCGTTAACAGCAATGCAGCAGAGTTCCTCTCCACTGATGTGGTGCACCAAATGCCACAAACTGTCTAATGAGCTATACAAAACATTTCCCAGACTACTAAACAGCTTACATCAAGGTAAGTTCAAAACAGTAGGAATATTATATATTAGGGATGCACTGATACTGGTTTTTCGGTATCTAGTACCGATATTTTTTTAATCAGTACTTGCCGATACCGAATACCAATACCGGAAGTCACCAGGTGAGAGAAAAGCATGGAGCCAGAAGTTCTAGTATCTAGATAAGTATCGGGAGCATTTCGGCGAGTACTCGCCCAAATACTCAGTATTGTCACCAATTACTAGAATCCGTACCGATGCATGCCTATTATAGATTCCCGTCAGTCTCTATCCTTAGGAAAAACGCAGGTTAGTCCTTTGATTTTGGCTTTCTCTCAGCTCAACAGAAAAATGCAATGTCTGCTCTCAGGTCACGGTGATACTGAATATGAGCTCATTAAACCTGTAGTAGTTAAGCCATTAAAGGAAAAAAACAGGTTTGGATTAAAAAGGATCAGGAATCCGCAAAATAGAAAAATGGGAGACATATACACCATTCAGGTCTCAGACACAATCTCGTCGTCGTCACTATTATTTAATCACCCTTAGATCTTTCTCAGGTTTGGTTCACACCTAGGTGGCCATGGTTTTTGCAGCGTGCAGTTATTTGCACATTTATACGCACATGAAGACACGCATGTTGACTGGCAGCTTAAGAAACATGGAGGTCAATGGAGGAACGTGTGTAAAAAACGCGCACAGAAATGTGCAACAGGCTTCTCCAGCACATTTCATTCCTTTTCCATTGAAGTCTATGGGGGCGGGGGG